GGTGGAGGTATACATGCATATTCACACACAATAATTTTTGTTATTTTCACTTGGTTGTGAATTTGCTTATAGTTTTATTCACTGACAATCACTTCCACAACCCCTATACCCTATTATCCATTTTACCTCTACAATTAAGTACTTAACTCTTGTGGTGGTTTGAGTGAGATGTCCCCCATAGGTTCAGCTATCTGAACACTTGGGTCTCCAATGGAAGGTACTATTTGAAGAGTTTTAGGAGGTGCAGCCTTGCTGAAGGAAGCATATCACTGGAATGGGGTTTGAGAGTCTACAGCTTTGCCCTACTTCCAATTCACTTGGCTTCTGCTTGCATTAAAAGATGTGAGCTCCAGCTGGGTATAGTGGTTCACGCCTTTAATACCAACACTCAAGAGGCAGAGGTAGTCAGATCACTGGATGAGGCCATCCTAGCCTACACGGTGAGTTTCAGGCTATCCAGGGCTATATAGCAAGACCCCCATCTTGAGAGCGAGAAGCGATCTTTCAGCTTCCTGTTCCTGTTTCCATTTCTTCCCTTTGTGCCGTGTTTCCCTGCTAGGATGGACTCTTATCCCTCTCGACCCAAAAACTAAAATAAACACTTTCTTCCATAAGTTGCCTCTGACCAGGGCATTTTATCATACCAACAGGGAGGTGACGAATTCTCAAACTACAAAAATACAAGACAGAAATTTTAGTCTCCCTCCACTATTGTCTCTACCCATGCCCTCTCTAGTCTTCTGGAGTTCACAGTAAGTAGCCTACTACCCAGTCACTTGATGAAGCCAGTAATTTCGGCTTAATCTTTCTCTTTCCTCCCATATTCTTTTGGTCGGTCCATCAGTGACTCTGTTCCCATAGCTGCCACCTTCTCTTGCTGTCTGCACAATAGCTTCCTCACTGATCTCTGAATCTTTTTACTTTTCTGGGGTGGGGAGGTCGTTTGGTTTTTCAAGACAGGGTTTCTCTGTATAACTGAACCCTGGTTATTCTGGAACGTGAACCAACAGAGATCTGTCTGCCTCTGTCTCCTGAGTGCTGGGATTAAATAAAGGCCACCACAGCCAATTCTTTCTCTACTTCTGCTCCTGCCCATCTCCAATCCATTCTACACACAGCAGGAAAATGATATTTATAAAACTTCAAATGTCACTCTCCTGCATAACTTAATATTCGTGACCCATTTTATATTCTTTCATCATCTGTGAGGTCCTAAATGGCCTGAACTCTGTTATTCACAATGATGCAGCCACACTGTCCTTTCTGCTTCTGAAATACTGTAAGGTCTTCCTAACCCTGAGCGACTGTGTGTACATTGTTCATTCTGCCCGGAAAATTTTCCCCCATTCTTTGCAAAACTGGTTCCTTGTCATCCTTTAGGTTTTAGCTACAACATGGCCTTGCCATTCTTATAACTCCACATTAGAGGGGACTTGAAGGGCCAGGCATGGTGGTGCACACCTTTAATCTCAGCATTTCAGAGGCAGAGGCAGGCGGATCTCTGAGTTTGAGGTCTAAAGAGTGAGTTTCAGGACAACCAGAGCTGCATAGAGAAACCCTTTCTCAAAAAAAAGTCAATGTTTTAAAAAATGTTCTTATTCATATTATATATAAAATAGCATCTATCTATAAAAACATAATTTGAAGTGTCTTGAGAAGTGACAAGTAATTCAGAGAGGACAGACTAAACGTGTATTTTATTTTTATCTCCTTAATAATAGTCTCTTCACATCTTTTAAGTACATAATTGGATAGAAGACTAGCAACTGAAAAACTGATTGAAACAATTGCCATTATTATAGTTAACAATTATTGAACCTTTGATGTGTGTGTAGCCGGCTACTCTAAGAGTTTTACACTTATTTTACTGTTTCATGTACATAATAATTCATTTATTTTTCACAACTACCTAATGTAGTATTATCCCCACTTTTTGAGAAACATCTCGTGTTACTCAGGTTAGCCACAAAACTCACTATGTTGGCAAGGATGAGCTTCAACTCCTGGTCTTCACACCTTTCCTTTCCACGTGCTACAATTATAGGCATGTTCCACCAATGCCTGACTGACTTTATTATTCCCATTTTAAAAATAAGAAAACAAAGACACCAAGGACCTAAATGGCTTAAGAAGTACCAATCTTGGACGAAAATCAGCAGGCAGAAGTGCTTTCCCCCAAACCTGATAACCTGAGTTCAACTCCTGGAACACACATGGGGGAAGGCGATCCGACTCCCACAAATTGCCCTCTGACTTCCACATATCCCTAACAAACAAGAAATAAATGTTTAAATATGTTAAAAAACTACTTATCAAATTAATAAGTGACAAAACTAAATTTCAATCACAGATAATCTAACTTCACTATTCCCCTATTCTATAAGATTACTGCAATACCACAGACCTGAAATTGAGATAATCTAAATTAATATAAAGATGTTATAAATATAAAATGACAGAAAAGTGGGGAGACAATTGAGAGAATCAGGAATTAAAAGTGACGGTGTTGGGGGAATAACCACGGGAAGGTGAGTCTAAGGTGACTCTCAAACATCTGACTTGATTGGATAGCTTATTGACCAGTTATAGAGAATTCTGTGGGAAAGGCAGAAGTCACCAGTCATTTCTATTGTGGTTGTGGAAACAAAGAAGGCAACCAGATACTGGTCTATAGTTTAAGAAAGACATCTTTCTTAGAAGTGTAGACTTTGAAGTTTACATATTAGTTTTAAAAACAATATACCCCAGGAAGGACATATGGAACAAACAAAGAAGACTGAGAGTAGAATTTTAGGGAATATCATCATTTAGGGGAAAAGTATATTAGATGTATCCAGAAGAGAAAATTGAAGCTGGTCACAGAGCTAAGATACTGGGAGAGAATAGGCAGGGAACTCTGGGATGGAGTTTTAACAACATTAACATTGTGTTAATAAAGCCCACTGGGAAATAGGATCTATGACACCATAGAATATATCTGTTTTACTCACCAATATATCAACAGCTTCTAAAAGTCTGGCACAGAGTCAATTATTTTTTTAGAAAATGATGAATGAATAATGAAAAACAAAAAGAACTACCAAACCCCCGTATCAAATTCTGGGAAGACAAAGACCAAGAAGTGTTATTTTCCTTAAGAACTTTAGAGTGCCACTGATCATAAGACACTTGGGTGGAACAGTTGAGGAAAACAAAATGGAAATGACCTCAAAGAAATGGCAAGAATATTTTCAGGCAAGAAGTCTCAGACTGGTAGCAATGGAGCTCAACGAACAAAAGTGATGACCTCAAGCCTGACAACCTAAATTTAATCCCTGAAGTCAAATGGTGGAAGGACAACAAATTGTCCTCTGGTTTCCACACACACACACACACACACACACACACACACACACAAATGCACTCACATACATAAATAGATAAGTTTATAAAAACAGAATTATTGTGCCCGATGCGATGCCACAAACATAATTCCAACCGTTGGGACGCTAAGGCAGGATCACCAATTTTTATAGCTAGCCTGAATTTTTATACAGCCTGTCTCAAACAAGAAAAAAAAAAGTTCGTCAAGAGGTGAGAAACTGTGACTAGGACCTTGTGCCTAGTACCTGTGAGTCAAGCTCTCTGCCAGTGAGCTATAACTGGGATGAAATAACATTGTGTATGTGTGAAGGGCTCTCACCATGTAGCCCCGAATGAAATGTAAGATATCTTCCTGCCTCTGCCTTTCCAGGGCTAGGAATAATTTAATAACTCTTTTTTGAATGACATTTTGTTGCATAGGAAGAAGAAACAGTGGGCTGCAATCACAGGTACATAGACTCAAAAGTGATTTCCCTTAAGATGGGAGGAAACTTGCTATATTCGTGTGCCCTCCATCCTTCTGGTTCAATGTGGACCACTATGCGGGAGTACAACAGAGTCTGAGGCTGGCCAGCGATGAGTTTTGTGAGACACAGTTCAGCTGGGCACGGACCTGGAGGCTTTGGAGTTTTTTTTAGCTTTCATCGGGGCTCAGACACCCTCGACCTCACCTCACTCATCTGGGACAACAAGAAAATCAAGGGTCTGAGAATCGCCACCGCTAATTTGGAGAGCTCCGAAAAGAACGGAGACTGCAAAGTCCCGCCCGCCGTCCTTGCTGCCTGCAGCCAGGCAACTGGGCGTTATGCCAGCCAATCCTAAAGGGACTCAAATTCTTCACCAGCCTCTCCCTGGGCGGAAATGACGCGTCTAGTCGTGCCTGATTGGCGGAAGCAATAATTGCTTTGCGGCAGGCTAGTAACTTGCTCTCTTTTTGGCTTCCGCCCTTGTTCCATGTGAGAGACAGGCTACGGCGATGCACGCGACCAAAGCTGCGAAGGGGTAAGAAGTAAAAGGGAGATCCCGGGTCCGAGGGCTGAGTTTCCTGGAGTTAGGGGGAGAAACGCCACCTTCTAACACTCAGTAGTTATCCGTCTCTTAAGATCCTGCCAGTAGTTAATGTATCTGCTATTAGTCCTTTAAAGCCCCTTAATTTAAGTTGATTTTGCGCCTCTGTTTTTCGGCTCTTTAAGTGCGACGCTGTTAGACCTAATGGTCGATCAGATCTATCTCTTGACAAAGTTAATATTCCTGGTTTCCCTTTATTTGTCACGTGCCCATTTTCTGTTTGTGCCACGCGCGATCTGCGCAGGCAGTGCCAAATTGTGTGAGAGTCGTCCACAACATTACCTCTCCTGTGGTATTTCACGTGTTCCCCCTCAGCGTTATAAAATCTAAATGTAGTCCATTTGGTAATGTTTGCCTAGTAAATACCGAGATACTCTGTTAAGTAATAGACTCTTTCTAAATACCAATCTCCTTAGTTAAACACCCGTACTCGGTTGGTTTCAATTATTCGCCTATCTCCCCAGTTCTGGGTACAAAAGATCAAGATTACATTAAGGCATCGGACTGGTAGAAGATGCATAGAATCGCTAATAGAATCTTTAAAAGGTTAATTAGGAAACTGCCTTTACCTCAAAGACCAGCAGTAGCATCGGTGGGAAACGCAGCGTCAATCCCTAATGAGTTTTGTTCATTCTTTTTCTTGCGAATTTGAATGGTGTCAGTTACTGTTACCTTGGAGGTGTTGCCTTACTTCGGTCTAAATGTAAAGTCTTGACAAATTGCCAAAGGTGCTCTTACTGTTGCGCTTTTGCACCTCTTCTCGGGCTACTCAGAACTGAAAAAAAAAAAAAAACGGAATGAATTGGTTTAGAACAGCGGTTCTCAACCTTCCCAACGCCGCGACTGTTTAATTCAATTCCTCATGTTGTGCTGACCCCAACCATAGCATTATTTTCGTTGCTACTTCATAATTGTAACTTTCCCACAGTTATGAATCGTAATTATCTGTGTTTTCCGATGGTCTTTAGCAACTCCTTTAAAAGGATCGTGCGACAACCTCCGGTGGATCGCGACTCACAGGTTGAGAACCGCTGGTGGAGACGTTGTTTTTAAAAGAAGGGTTATTTCGCGTGCTAATATTTCTATCTTGCCTTTTTAAAACAGCCTTCTGGCTTTGAGCCAGCAGGAAGAACTAGTGGATTTGCCAACCAACTACCCCTTGAGTGCCAGTGAAGATGAGGTGGGTGACCAGCGTTGAACTGATTCAAAATCAGGGCGAACAACGCATTCCTGGAGCCGAAAGGATTGGAGATATATATATTGGGGGGGGGGTACCTAGAACTCCAGCATCTGCCGACTAAATTGTATGCCTAATTCCTTGACAAAATCCTTAAGTCGTTTCCCCTCCTTCTGTGTAAAACAGTACCGATATTAATGATAAGGAAAGGTCAGGGGTCTTGGTAGTCATCCTAGAACTCAGGAGCCTGAGGCAGGAGGATCTGAAATTTGAGACCCGTGCTAACCGAGAGCTTGTCTTCATTTGTTTGTAAGGGATTCTATGAAGCTCAAGTGGCACACACCTTTAACCCAGCACTTGGGAGGCAGAGGCAGTGAATCTATATTATTTTGCAGCCAGCCTGGGGTACATAGTAAATTCCAATCCGGACAAGGTTACGTAATGAGACCCTATCTCAGAAGGGGGTGGGGTAGTTTCTCCTGATAAAAAGCCACTTTGAGAACTGTGCTTATGACTTTAACTGTTGGTCGGTGTTTCTGTATGAAAAAAAAAAACACTTTTATGCAGAAACAGTATTTTAAGCTGATTTCTTTTCTTTTGGAGGAGGGTTCGAGACAGGGTTTCTCTGCAGACAATAATTAAATTATCAGTAGATTCATTTGCAGTCACTAAGCTGACCAAAAAACACAGGGGAGGGGTAGTCTCCAGACAAGGTTTCTCTGTAACCACCCAGACTGGCCTCAAACTCACATGGATCCACCAGTGCTGGGTTTAAAGGCCTGAGTCACCACCACCTGGTTTAAGATGTTATCTTCAAATCAGTTAGGACATTCCAAGTTACTAAGGATCTACAGTCTTTTTTTTTTTTTTTTTTCTGGTCAGGGATGGATTGAAGGATCTACATTCCTTATATAGTGTTTGGATTTTGAAACAGTTCCCTAATTCCAAATCCAGCTTGGATTAGAGTGGTCATATAATATCTCATCTGAATCCCCTGTTCTCTGCCAACCAGAACCCAAATTTGCATGTGCACTTATTTCCAAGTTGTCTTTCCCCTCCTCGCGTTGTCCTAATGGAGTTTCCTCCTCTGAGTCTAGGGGGACGGTGATGGAGAAAGAAAACATCAAAAACTTCTGGAAGCGATCGGTTCCCTTAGTGGAAAAAATAGGTAACATCTCTGTCAGTTTGGACAGCTTATAATTACGTCCGTCTGTCTGCCTGTCTTCCATCTTTCCTTCCTTCCTTTGTGTGGGGATATACATATGCCACTTAGCACAAGTGGAGGTCATAGGGCAGCTTGTAAAAGTTGGTTCTTTCCTTCCATATGGGGGATTCAGGGATCAAACTCAGTTTGGTTTGGCAGCAATGGCCTTTATCTCTTGAGCCATCTTGCTCGCCCTACTAAGATTTATTGAGTATCTCACATAATGATCCTAGTGCCTGTGTGTAGCATATAGTAAAAAACTGTATGATTATTAGCTATTTTCCTTATTGCTGTCAGTTTAATTCACACCAATACTCTTTTGAAGCATTGAATACATATTAACCACATTAAAGTTAAAATTAAAATTTTAACTCCATGCTGAACCATTTATAAGGGCAGGACCTGGATTCAAATTTATGTGTGCTTAAATCTGTTTCATTGTACTACATTGTATTTTTTTAAGGGCTGGGGCTATATAAAGAATATGAGATGTGGATTAGACTAAGTCTAAAGTTAGAAGCAGTTTGGTTGTTCTGACAAAAGTGGACTGTGGGGTGTGGACCATAAAACCACAACTGCCTTAAAGATGTAACTCAGTGGTAGAGCGGGTATGAAATCCTAGACTTCAGCATCTTAGAAACAAAACAATAAAGGGAAGTGTTTTGCACTCCCCATGCAAATGTTTCCATTTCTAGTGTATCTTTTTTCCTAATTTCAGGTGGAAATCGGCTGAGAGATCTGAGGCTAGTCTGAAAGTGTCTGAGTTTAATGTTAGTTCTGAAGGTAAGGGTTTGTTATTTTGTTCATTTTTTTGTTTCTTCTTCTTTTTTTTTTTTTTTTTTTTTTTTTTTTTTTTTTTTTTTTTGAGACATGGTTTCTCTGTATAACAGCCTTGGCTGTCCTGGAACTCACTCTGTAACTCTGTAGACCAGGCTGACCTCAAACTCCATCTGCCTCTGCCTCCAGAGTGCTAGGATTAAAGGTGTGCGCCACCACTGCCCAGCTCCTGAAGATAAGTTTTAAAAAGTATTTATGCATGAAATCATAAATATTTACCTGTGAGGATGCATTAAGGGTAGTCAAATAAAGAATGCTGAGTATCTCCTATGGACCTCAATAGGATGCTTAATCCATAAAGCCATTTGAGTGATGGTTCCATGTATCTCTTACTACCTTAGCTGTCGTGTTTGTATAGCTTTTTTATGTATATATTTTTATACATTTTTATTGATATTTATTAAGCTCTACATTTTTCTCTGCTCCCCTCCCTGCCTCTCTCCTTCCCCCTGAATCCTCCCCCAAGGTCTCCATTATCCCAATTTACTCAGGAGGTCTTATCTTTTTCTACTTTCTACATTCCATGTAGGTTAGATCTATGTAAGTCTCTCTTAGGCTCCACATTGTTGTCTAAATTCTCTGGGATTATGGTTTGTAGGCTGGCTTTCTTTGCTTTATGTTTAAAAACCACCTATGAGTGAGTACATGTGATAACTGTCTTTCTGTGTGGGTTACCTCACTCAAAATAATGTTTTCTAGCTCCATCCATTTTCCTGCAAAATTCAAGATGTTGTTATTTGTTTCTGCTGTGTAGTACTCCATTGTGTAAATGTACCACATTTTCCTTATCCATTCTTCTGTCAAGGGGCATTTAGGTTGTTTCCAAGTTCTGGCTATGACAAACAAAGCTGCTATGAACATAGTTGAGCACATGTCCTTGTGGCACAATTGAGCATCCTTTGGATATATACCCAAAAGTAGTATTACTGGGTCTTGAGGAAGGTTGTTTCCTAATTTTCTGAGAAATCACCACACTGACATCCAAAGGGGTTGTATCAGCTGGCATTCCCACCAGCAATGCAGAAGTGTTCCCTTTATCCCACAACTTCTCCAGCATAAGTTGTCAGTCATCACTGTTTTTGATCTTGGTCATTCTTTCAGGTGTAAGATGGAATCTCAGAGTTATTTTGGATTGTGTTTCTCTGATGACTAAGGATGTTGAATATTTCCTTAAGTGTCTTTCAGCCATTTTAGATTCCTCTGTTTAGAGTTCTCTGTTTAGGTCTGTACTCCATTTTTTTTTTTATTGGATTATGTGGGTTGTTGATGTCCAATTTCTTGAGTTCTTTGTATATTTTGGAGATCAGACCTCTGTCTGATTTGGGGTTAGTGAATATCTTTGCCCATTCTGTAGGCTGTTTTGTCTTGTTGACCATGTCTTTTGCTTTACAGAAGCTTTTCAGTTTCAGGAGGTCCCATTTATTAATTGTTTCTTTCTCTCAGTGTCTGTGCTGCTGAAGTTATATTTAGGAAGTGGGTCCCTGTGCCAGTGCATTCAAATGTACTTCCCACTTTCTCTTCTATAAGGTTTAGTGTGGCTGGCTTTATTTTGAGGTCTTTGATCCATTTGGGCTTGAGTTTTGTGCATGGTGATAGATAGGGGTCTATTTTCATTCTTCTACATGTTGATATCCAGTTATGCCGGCACCACTTGTTAAATATGCTTTCTTTTTTCCATTTGATATTTTTTTTTTTTTGCTTCTTTATCAAAGATCAGGTGTTCGAAGATGTATGGATTGATATGCAGGTCTTCTATTCAGTTCCATTGGTCCTCCTGTCTGTTCTTAAGCCAATACCAGGCTGTTTTCAGTAGTGTAGCTCTGTTGTAGAGTTTGAAGTCAGGGATTGTGATGCCTTCAGAAGTTCTTTTTGTTGTACAGGATTGTTTTTTGCTTTCCCATATGGAGTTGAGTACCGTTCTTTTGAGGTCTTTGAAGAATTTTGCTGGGATTTTGATGGGCAGTGTTTGTATAGCTTTTTAATGTTCACAATTGCCTTTTTTCTTATCTGTCTTTCCTTTTTGGTTTTTCAAGACAGGGTTTCTTTGTGTAACCCTGGCTGTGCTAGAATTCTCTGTGTAGACCAGGCTGGCCTCGAACTCACAGAGATCCATCTGTCCCTGCCTCCCAAGTACTGGGATTAAAGGCACGCACCACTACCACCCAACTCACAATTGCCTTTGTATTTCAGTTCTCGCATGATGCTTTGAGTTAGGACGGACAGATAGATATTCAGCTTTATTGGAGCCTAATAAGAGTTGTTTGATGTTGGTAAACCAAAGAGTTTCTATTTTCATGACTAACAGAATATGGGTGAGAGGTTATTTATAGGAGCTAGCATGACCCCAAAGCAGGTGTATTACCTAAAGCCCACTGCAACACTGATGAAAACTCAAGAATGCTGCACCCCTTGACTTCTTTAAGGAATTGACCAAGAAAATCTCTGTAGCTGGCTGCTCATATCTCTTCCCCCCAACAGTTGTTAGCTACTTCTGTGTCTTGGGGGTGGACTTGGATAACCTGCAAGTTTCAGTGTTCCCAGACATGTGACACTTGTT